TTCTTTTGCTTAGAATAATGTTTTTGGGGATTATTCAATGTAGCATGTATCACTATTTAGTTCCTTTTTATTGCTGAATATTTATGTTTCTTCATTTACCATTGATGAGCATTTGTATTATTTTCACTCTTAGCAATAGTGAATAATGCTGTTATAAACTCTCACATATAAGCCTTTGTGTAGACATACATTTTCACTTTTCTTAGGGAGATTCCTATGGGTGGAGTATCATTTTGACACTCAAAAAGTTTTGGATGATGGATCATTTTGGATTTCAAGTTTTCAGATAGAGATGCTCAGTCTGTATAAGTTTCTGTGTATCTTTTTAGAAATTGTCAAAGTTTCCAAAGTTGCTGTGCCATTTAACATTGCCACCAGCAATGTATGAGGGTTCTAGTTTCTCTACAACTTTCCCAACATTTGTTATTGTCTTATTTATTATCGATATTCCAGTGGGTGTCTAGTAGTAGCTTACCGTAGCTCTTTCATTTCACTAATGGATGATGTTGTGCATCTGTTCATATGCTTATCATCTATGTAAATTTTTTGCCCATTTTCAAATTGGACTTCTTCCTCTTACTATTGAATTGTAAGAGTTCTTTATAGGCTGGGTTTGGTGGCTCAGCCTGTAATCCTAGCACTTTGGGAGGCCGAGGTGAGTGGATTGCCTGAGCCTGTGAGTTTGAGACCAGCCTGGGTAACTTGGTGAGACTTCCTCTCTACAATAAACAAAAAATTAGCCAGACATGGTAGCACATACTTGTAGTTCCAGCTACTTGGAAGGTTGAGGCCTCTGGGGTGGCCGTGAGTGTGCCACTGCATTCCAACCTGGGCGACAGAGTGAGACTCCAACTCAAAAAAAAGAAGAAGAGTTCTTTATATATGCTGGATCAAGTCCTTCATCAGATATTTGATGTGCAGATGTTTTTTCTCAGTCTGTGGGTTGTCTTTTTATGATCTCAAGGTTGTTTTTGAAGTACTAAATTTTAAAACCTTAATGAAATCCTATGCCAATTTTTTCTTTTATGGAGCATATTTTTGGTGCCAAGTCTAAGAACACTTTGCCTAACTCAAAGTTATAAAGATTCTCACTTTTTTCTTTAAAAGGTGTAGTTTTAGCTTTGTCATTTAAGTCTATGATCCTATTTCTTTCTTAATATCTCGCGATTTCCATCCTAATCACTTCCTTCAAGCTTCATACTTGAATAGTAACAATACCTAGTTGTCAAATCCAATGGAGTTTCCTGTTTGTACTCACATACTATTTTTGTCAAAATATTAGACCGGTGATTAAATAATTACAAAAAACTTAATGAGTAAAAAACTAATGAGTAAAATAATTGGGAAAGTATAATGGAAACAGATCTGGTCTGGTGAAACTCTCAGGACAAAATATTTAAGGTTAAAAAACTCAACAGTACCTTTACATATAGATACTTAATACATTCTTTTAAAATTGATAAATAGTAAAGACCTTGTAGATCAGTTCTTGGGCTGACTCAGGGTTCATATACAGACTTTGGCAGGAGTGCAGTACACTAACAGGTCCAAACTGAATTTCATTCTCAAGGCCTACACTCTCTCACGAACCAAAGAATCTTAGGGATCCAAAAGACTGAGGCTTATCCAGGGTCAAGCTGAACTTTCAGGGTGGCCTCCAAAGTGTTGAACTTTACAGGCTGATCATGTGTCTCCTAGAATTAGACTAGAGCCAGATCTGCTAAAAAATCTGGGGGCTAGAGGGGTAGAGGGTTACCTTTATCTAATATCTAGATGAGCGAATACAAGAGGGGACACAAAAAAACAAAAAGTCTGGAGAATTATCTTTTGGAGGGTGGGTCCCTTGTAGTACAGGCTTCTTCCACTAGGTATGTGCTCTAGGAACCCATTGGCATCAGTGTACCAGCTAGTGTTGTTGTGAGAGGCTGCATTCGGCTTCAGTGAATTTTTTTGTGGCAAACTGGTGACTGGTTCTTCCACCATGGCAGTGCACCTGCCCACACCATGCTGAGTATTCAGCAGTTTTTTCCCAAAAATGGCATGACCCCTATGCCCCACCCTCCCTATTCACCTGCTCTTACCTTGAACAACTTTTTTTTTTGTTTCCCCAATGAAAAAAGTTCTCAGAGGGAAATGTTTTGCTGATGTGGAAGAAGTGAAACAACAACAACAAATTGGTAGACACTAAAAGGCATCAAAATTGACGAGTTCAAAAGCTGTTTTGAGCAGTGGAAAAAGTGTCTCAATAGGTGTAGAGCATCAAAGGGAGAGTACTTTGAAGGTGACTTAAGTTTAAACATGTAAGAATAAATACTCAATTTTTTATAAATTGTTTTTTTGGAAGTCTCCCTCATACTTGGTTAGATACAGTTTTAAGTAAAGAAAGATTCAAGGTGAAGTCAAGTGTTTTCTTATTTTAATGTGGAAGAGTCTTGCATGTTTACAGACCGCACAGAATGAGCCGGCAACAAGAATGAAGCTGAAAATGAGAAAAGGGAACAGAGAGAAAAATAATTGATGAAACAAGGACACAAGAGAAAGGATCCAGAGCCCTCCAGGGAAACATTTTCTGTAGAGTACGAACTGGGGGAAGGAGGTGAGGGGAGAATTTTCCCTTTTACTTTTACACTGTGGTATTTGTTTAAAATTTAAAAATAATGGGTATGTATTAATTTATAATAGAAAAAGTTTAGAAGAGTTCAGCAGAGGAATTAACTTTGAACAGAACAAGATACGTTGAGAAAAAAACAACTGCTGAACACATATGATCTCCCCCTTCTTTTCTAATTATAGTCAGTACCTCTTTTGCATTAGATAATTTTGTTGTTTTGGCTAAACTATATAACATCTCAAAGGCAAAAATTATGAACTGTTTTGCATCTTTCTTTAGCTCCTAATCTAGCAGAAAAATGAGCTTTGCTCAATAAACATCAAGAAACATGAACTGGAAAGTGTGCTGCAGATAACATTAACATCATCAAAAGATAACTATTTCAATACATATGGGAATTTAGCATATAATAAAGGTGATGTTTCAAATCAATGGGGAGAAAACAGGTAATTTGTTAGACTGGGAAATCAAATGGGCATCTGGAAAAAAAAGTTGAATTCATATCTCACCTTTTATTCCAAAATAAATTCATATACAGAAAAAGAAACATTTACAAAAATCTTGGAGTGAGAAATGCCTTTCTTCATATGAAAAAAAAATTCAGAAGTATAGAAAAAATATAGATCAATAAACCACATCAAAAAAATTCTGCCTGGAAAAAATATAAACAAAGTAAAAAAAAAAATGACAAAGTATGAATATTTGCAACTCATATCACAGACTAAGGACTAATTTCCTTAATAAACAACTTTCATAAATCTATAAGAAAAAGACCAGCAATCCAACAGAAAAATGAACAAATGCCATAAGTTATTTTACAAGAAATGGCTCTTAAATGTATGACAATACTCAATCTCACTCAAAATGAGAAAAGCAATTCAGAGTTATAATATACAACTTTTAAATTACAAAACTGGCAAAACTCAAAAAGTTTGAGAACCCTCTCTGTTGAGTATATGAGGAAAATGGGTACTCTCATGCATTGCTGATAGTTTAAGTTGGTACAGCTCATGGTAAGTACAACGCATTGGTAAAATGCACTCCAAACTCATCTCCTACAGTTTTCTTTTTGCTTAATCTGTATTAGCCACATAGCCGCCTGCTCTTCCTCAACTATGCCAAGCACACTCCAGTCCCAGGGCCTATGCACTTACTTTTTCCCATTAATCTTGAAATGTATGTCCATTTTTCTTTACTTGCTTCAGGCCTTTGCTCAAGTGTCACTTTTTCGGTGAGGACTTTTCTGATCACCTGATGTAAAACAATGACTCCCACCCCCTCCATCATTCTTCTTTCACTCTATTTTTAATTGGGGGCATTTATCATCTGACATTACTCTATGCATTTATGCTCACTGTCTCTGCTTTCCAGCTGGACTGTAAACCTTTCACAAGCAAGGTTGTGTATACTACTGTATCTCCAAACCCTAGAATAGTACAGGCTTAGAATGTAATGGGTGCTCATTAAATACAAATACTGAATCAGTGAAAGAACCTCCAGCAAGGACAACTTAGTATCTATTAAAATTGAGAATGCATATACTCAGCAATTCCTCTAAGCATTTATCTAATAGATATCCTTGCACATATGCAAAACAGAATGTACAAGGTTATTTGTGGTAGCATTGTTTATAATAAAGGAGAAAGCCACACAAAGTCAACCTTAAAATAAATTATTGACATCCATACAATAAATAGAGTACTATGTGGATATGGAAGGAGCTCTAATTCTGAAAATTCTTTTGCTACCTTTGGCAACTATACATATGGGACATTACTATCTTAAGACCCTGGTGTTATCACTGCAAGAATAATCCCTTTAATAGGACATTTAATGGTAAGGAGAGTAAAGATGAACAGGTAGAAACAGTGAACTTTTTAAGTTGTATTTCATTTCCTTGTAGAAAACATAGAATTTCTATCAATTAAATAATATTCTAGTAAGACTAAATTTATCTAATCACAGATAACCTTGTTAAACAAAGATCCTCTCTTGTATATCCAAAGTCATGAATAGACCCAAACTGGCAGTACCTATTGTTCATTTATTATGGGTGGATTTCCCATTTTACAAACAAACCTCTTGATAGGAAGAGGGCCAGGGTTTTAGAATGTCTTTAGTATGTTTCCTGTTACTGGAGGGGCAGAATTCCCCTGTTGTCCATCAAATGACATCTACTTGTAGCTGCAGGGTGCTTTTCAGGGGTACTCTTCTTAGAGTTAAATACCTACAAAGGAATAATATACACAAGGTAATTATCTGGTAACCATGCATTCCCTCCAATCTTGTCAGACTATAATTGGCTTACTGTCCTAAAAAAAAAAAAAAAAGTTCTATTTCTTATCTCTACTGCTTCCGCTCCCCTTCTTATCAGTTGTTCTCTTTGGAATCCTACACAAGCTTCTATTCCAATACTACCATTTCAAGGGTGAGGCAACGTCCTAGCTCTCTACTTAAGGACAAAGTCTCCCCTTACTATTCTACTCTACAGTAATCTAGGCTCTGACCTTTAGCAAGCATCTGACCCTAATCTTTTTGCTGCCTAATTCTGTTAATTGGCTTTTCACAAGTTTTTGACTTACATTCCAATTAGATTGTAAGCTCCTTAACAGCAGATTCCTTTATTCTGTTTTTCTATATTCCTCACACACCTAAATAGCAGATGCTCTAAATGTCCTGGTTTTGAAATGTAACATAGTCAATCCCCTTATCATCCAACATACATACTTAGTGCTTTTAAAAGATTTTTCTAGAATCAATCTATGTTATTGTATTAGCATAGATATTCTGCTAGTCCAATACATTTTGAGTGTTTGGTATCAGAACTCATCAGCTGACTCTGTGTCCCAGCCACAGGACTGAAGTTCATCTTGTGGGAATTCAATTTCAATGTCATAAACAAAATTTGGATCATCTTTCTTCTTCTGATTTTTCTCAAAAAGTTCATCCATAATGCTCTTCCTTTTGGCAAGCTCCTTGTCATCTAGTTTGTTCAGGTCTTCCTCAGGATCAATGGTTGTTTCCCGTCGAATTTGTTCCATTGTTTCTGCCAAACTCTGCCCCCACAAGTGACCTCGTAAAAAGTTGAATAGCTTCTCTAGCTGCTTCAGAGATACTTGTTCCAGGTAACTCTTGTGTCGTGGATTATTCTTTAATTGTTCAGCAGCTCTAGTGCAATCTAGGAGGGAGAATAAACTATATACCATATACATCATATATATTATAAATGACTGGTGCACCTATGAAAAAATTGCCTCTGGAATCTGTACAATTATTCCTTTATATTGAGCTTTGGGTATGGTGGGGGTAGGAAAGATATACTTTTTACTTCCTTAACTTAAAATCACTGTGGAGATGTAAAACACTTTCAACTAGAGAAAGTGTCTGAGAAGAAAAGTGGTTTTATGCTTCTGGTTAGCAGTAGTAATATTAATAAAATATCAAGACTATAAATAAACATTTGGAAGGAAAGAAGTTAATATTTTTGAATAATGCTATCTCATTTAACCCACACAACAATCTCACAAGGATTACATGATCAATTACTAAACTGAAATTAAAAAATATCAATTCCCTGTTACAGATTAGGAAGCAGAAACTCACTGACAGTAAGTAATTTAGCCAGTGTTCCACATCTAGTCCCTGATAGTCATGATTTGAACCTAGGTCTAACTCTGAAGGCCATGTTACTCCATTGCATGAGATTCAAATTGTTCTTATTAAATGATTTAGAGAATATATAAGATAGGAGGCAAGATAAAACATGAAGTACCTGAAAACTTTGAAAAGTTTCGAACTGGCATAATGCGTTGGCGAATTTTCCCCTTGATTTCATTCTCATAGATTAAGATAATAGCTGGAGGCTGGAATCTAATCCCACATTTCTTGGCAGTGCACATCATTCCCACATACACTTCAGAGGAAATCAAAGGAAATCTGATGAAAATGTGTTAGCTGCATAATGACTTCCTGCTAAAGGGAAAAACAACCAAGTAGGTGCTGGATAAATCCCATTCCCCTCAACCCTCCTCCCCAGCAGAAATGGATCTAGTCCAGTTCTGGAGACATGTGCTCAGCCTGTGAAGCTGCCCTGAAAGTTTAGTTTAGCCCTGGGTTAGCCTCAGTCTGCTGGATCCCTAAGATTCTGTGGTTCATTGAAGAATGTAGTTTTGTTCACATGAGAGCCTGGGAATGCAATTCAGTTTGGACCTCTTAGTGCACTTCACTCCTACCAAAGACTGTATATGAACCTGAGTCAGCCTCAAAACTGACCTACAGGATCTTTACTATTTATCAATTAAGAAAGTACACAATGTGGGGCGTGGTAGCTCATGCCTATAATAATCCTAGCACTTTGGGAGGCTGAGGTGAGAGGAGTGACTGATCCCAGGGGTTCGAGACCAGCCTGGGCAACTTGGTGACACCTCGTCTCTACAATAAATCAAGAAAAATTAGCCAGGCATGGAGGCACATGCCTGCAGTTCCAGCTACTTGGAAGGCTGAAGTAGAAGGATTGCCTGAGCCCAGCAGGTCAAGGCTGCGGTGGCCATGAGCATGCCACTGCACTCCAGCCTGGGCAAGAGTGAGACTCGGACAAAAAAAAAGTACACATCAATCACCCTTTCTGTCAAGGTACTGCACTAAGAGTTGTTAACCCTAAACATTTTGTTCTGAGAGGTTCACTAGGCCAGATCTGTCTCCACTGTACTTTCCCAATTATTTTACTCAAGCTTTTTGTAATTACTTATTTAATCACTGAGTTTCTTTTCTAGTTAATATGTTACACGAGGGAGGGGAGCATATCCATTTTTCATTACCATATCTCCCTAGAACATAGTAAGCACTCCATACATACTTAGAGCAATATATCAATATAAGATGAACACAGCACAACCTGTAAGTATTTACAGCCTAGGAGCCTGATCAAAGGCACACTTGATGAAGAATAAGCCGCTTTATATACAAAACAATAATGTTTACATGGCTTTTATTTTAGCTTATTTGTCTCACTTTATGATATTTTTCCAGTTAAAAGAAACCCAGCAAGGCTGAGCATGGTGGCTCATGCCTGTTTTCCCAGCACTTTGGGAAGCTGAGGCAGGAGGATTGGTTGAGCCTAGGAGTTCGAGACCAACTGAGGTAACATAGTGAGACCTCATCTCTACAAAAAATAAAAAAAACTAGCCAGGTGTGGTGGCATGGGCCTGTAGTCCCAGCTATTTGGTAGACTGAGATGGAAGGATCGATCACCTGAGCCCAGGAGGTCGAGGCTGCAATGAGCTGTGATCACGCCACAGTATTCCAGCCTGGGCAACAGAATAAGACCCCAACAACAAAAAAAAGAAAGTTGTCTGCAGGTTAGTAGTTTCTATTCTCTGTTATCTTTGATGTGACTACGATATTGAAAGGAGGGAACCTTTAAAGTGTAGAGTATATTTGGTTTAATGCAGTCATTTTAAAACAGCACAGCCATTTTACTTAGGCTTTACTCTTTGAAATCCCCTTGCTGCACAGCCTGCAAGCATCGTATGCTTTTTGCCATGTAATCACTAACGAAGAGGATGTTTTAGTCTCAGAGATTAGCAATTATATGGAACTCCTTGAGCATGTCCTGCTTGTGGACAATTTATATTTTTTAGGCATTTGTATTAATACTTTGTTATCAGCTGCCTGTGACGAACTCCAGCACACCACGGGGAGTCATGCTTATTGACATACTGTTATTACCCAACCGTGACTACCCCAGCCCACTACCTGAGGTCAATGCCTGGCAATGTCAAGATATGCAATTTATATGACTGCTATAGAAACCAAAGAATAGAATTTTGGTCACTCCTTTTGGCCCAAACCTCCTCTGTGTTTAAGCCCCTTAGCTTTAGGGGTTTGCTTTAGAGCCCTTCAATATTCCTAGTCTTTAGTCTGCCACACTTGCCTTGGAGTGTTGACCCCCTTTCCATCTGTGAAAGGTGAATAATAAACTTTACTTCTTTGTACTTTCTTCCTTGTTGCAATCTTGCGTTATTCCCGTGGCACCAGACCACCTTGCCTCAGTTTACCCTTTCAGATATTCTCAGGAAGATTTGCAAATGTTAAGAAACTGTGAGGTAAAGTGGTATAAGGTGATAATATCTTCATAAACTCAGTTCTGTTGGAGTAAAACTATAGGAACATAATTTAAAAAAATACTTAACCATTATTATATATGTTCATTGTAGAAAAGTGGGGACAAAGAAAGGGGAAGGAAATATATGTAAAACAATCACCTTTGATTATTTCCAGTCTTTTTTTTAGGCATATAGTTAAAAACAAAAAAAACTAGGCAAGGCACAGTGCCTGTAATCCCAGCCCTTTCGGAGGCCAAGATGGTGGGGGTGGGTTGCTTGAGCCTAGGAGTTTGAGACCAGCCTGAGCAACATAGCAAGACCTCATCTCTAGAAAAAGTCAAAATATTAGCCAGATGTGGAGGCACACACCTGTAGTTCAGCTACTCAGGAGGCTGAGGCAGGAGGATCACCTGAGCCCTGCAGGTCCAGGCAGAGGTGAGCCGTGATCATGCCACTGTACCCTTCTAACCTGGGCAACAGAGGCCAACTCAAAAATAAATAAATAATAAAAAATAAAATTAAAACATCTATAGTATGTTGTTATATCATACATACTATTTCCTGACCTATATAATTATTTTTGTCATTGAATATTTTACTAAAATGTGACATTTCATATAACTGCCAAGTGTTTTTTCTTATGAATGTACCATAATCTATATTTTTCACCACTTATTGTTGGATGTGAGAATTACTATTCATAGTAAATTAATGCTATATAAAGGAATGATCTTTCAAATTACCTTCTCTGCCTTATGATCTGATAACAATCCCCCACCCTACTCTTTTTTTTTTTTCCATCAAAAGTTCACCTGACTAAAATTTGATCTGTTAGTAAACTTTCCAGAAGATCCTCCGGAGCACAATATAAACTCCACACACCCAAGCTAATGGCAGTACTTGTGAATAATGTATGCCACTGATACTCAATAATGTGAGGCTTATGGCAAAAAAATTCTGGTCTCTGCCCTACTCCTCTTCCTAGTTAACATTTTAAAAAGGAATTTCTTTCCAAATGTATTCCATATTTCTTAGAATCTGCTTTTTCAGTTTTAGATAGTATCTTTTGACACACACACACTGTTTCCTCTTTGAGATTCCCACTCTGGAGGACTCTGTTCTGCTCCAGTCTGCACTGGATGCGCTCTGGGCCCTGCCTTGCAGATCCCTAGTTCAGGAAGTCAGACGGCACATTTACCTAATTATTCTACCTGGACTGAATACTCTTCTCCCCGGGGATCAGCGACTGCCATAGCCTTGTTAGGTATCCCCCACAGCACCCAAGGGGGTGCGGATGTCCCCAGTTGGCAGATGACTCTCTGCCTACTCACGCCCGGCTAGCTCATTTTCTTACCCCTTGGGGAAATACAGAAAGGGCATCTTCTCCCGCAGGCCAACGTCTAAAGCGCCGGGAGGAGGCTGTTTCCACCCGACCGCAGTGCACAGAGGAGCCCCTAAGTTGACACCGAGGCCAGGCGGAGCCTGGCACTGCAGGCAGAGGTGACAGCCATAGCCCCACTGAGGTGACCGACGGGTGAACGCCCCTGCAAGAGACCGGAACCCGCAAACACCTGGAAGCGGAGCTGGGGGCGGCCCAGAACGTGGCAAGTCGGCTTCCACGACTGCGTGCGAAGGTGCAGAGTCCAGAGGGGTGCTCGCCGAGCCCCGCCCACTGCAACAACCGGACGCGCGTCACTGCGCCTGCGTCTCTCCTCGCCCCGCCCCAGACCTGGACGGCGAGGGGCGGGGCGGCAAGGGATGCCAACGAGGGGACTGGACAGCCGCCTCACGCAGCGCCGGAACGTTTTGGGCTCAGGGCTGCGGGTAGCGGGAGGACCGCGGGGCCCCGGTGTGCGCGCACCGACCCTAGGTCCGGGTTACTGAGTCTGCGGCAGCGCGGTGTGGGAGCTGCGTGAGGCGTGTGCAGGCTCCTTCCTCCGTCCTCACCGTCCTCGCGCGCCCCTCTCGGGCGTGCGCCCTCCGGCGTCCTGGCTGCTTGGGTCGTAGCTGTCCGGGCAGTAGCCTGGCAGCTTCTCTGGGCGGCGAGTGGCCTCACCCCCTGGCCAGCCGCGGCCTTCCTCGCCGCCCCTTCTGACGCCGGTAAAGGGAGGGGCGGGGCTTGGGGACGGCGTGGGTGGGGAGCAGTCCCGACTCTCAGGTCCTCGTGTCCACAGGTGCTTCGGGTGCCCAGCGCGGGACCCTAAAACTGCAGGGTGAACTGGAGGAGGTTAGAAACCAAGGCCGCGTCCCTGCCTCCTTCCTCCCCTCCTGGGCTCTTTGCCTGGTGGCCGATCCCGGGTCTCTGGAGAGTGGGCTTTGTCGCTCCGAGGCGGGACTGGCCGCACTCTTGCTCTGACTAAACTGAAAGGAAGCGCCGCTGAGAAGCGTCTTGAGATGCTTGAAGCTTCTGACTAGCAAGGGGCCAGCAAGGATTATCGCCCCGGGAGGCGTGAGAATCCCAAAACTCAAGAGACTCAAGAGCAATGACTAGTTTTGTTTTGCAAATACCTTTGATAATAGACTGAGGTTTCCTTATGACTCCGGGCTGGGCAAGCGAGTTGATTCATTTCTTTGGGCCCAAGTCCTTAGGCCGGAATGCCGGGCTAAGTGCTGTGGAATCAGCCCTGGCCCAGACACGGCTCCAGCCCTCGTGGAACTTGCAGTTGTAGTGAGTGAGACGGACGTGTGCCCTAGTAATTACAATAAAGTGAGAGCGTTTGGTAGGGGAAGGAAAGGCAGCTCAAACACAGTTTCTCCATCTGTAAAATAAACGTGTTAGACTGGTATCTGTCAATCAGTGCAGTTCTGCTTTTGTTTGTTTAAATGTTAGGTTTCCAGATTTATTTGAAGAATTATGAAGCCAAATATAATTTTTAAACAACTGGATTTGTTGATCTCTAAAGACTCTTACAGCGCTGGCATTATATAATTAAAAAGAGGTCAAGAGTCAGTTCAGGCTAACACAATCAGATAAAGTAATATTGAAGAGGAAGAATATTGAAAGCGAATTCAGATGCAACAAATTCGTTTTGAAAACGCTACTTTTGCCTTAAACATAATAATCGAGGCCGGGTTCGGTGGCTCAGCCTTGGATTGCCTGAGCCCGCGGGTTTGAGACCCACCCAGACAACTTGGTGAGACCTCATCTCTACAATAAATCAAAAATTAGCCGGGCGTGGTAGCGCGCTCCTGTAGTTCCGGCTACTTGGAAGGCTGAGGCGGAAGGATCGCTGGAGCCCAGCAGGTCGAGGCTGCGGTGGCCGGGAGCGTGCCACTGCACTCCAGTCTGGATGACAGAGTGAGACTCCAACTCAAAAAAAAAAGACATAATAATCGTATTTGCTATACTGTTTGTAAAATAGCTTTTCTCTCATCCTAAGATGAATGATTTACTACTCTCTAGTGTATATTCCAGTAGAAGTTAAATTTATTAATCTTTTTTATTCTGCTTTAATTTATAGCTAGTTATTAGCTCTTACTTCCCACCTTACCTCTATTAAAATTAAATATGAGGATGAAAATTCTGGATTTGTACAGGAGTTATGTAACGTATTTATTTATTTGGCAAAAGATTATATACTTCTCCAAAGCAAATTAGATTTTATTTTATTTTTTATGCTGGGCACAGTAGCTCATGCCTGTAATCCCCGCACTTTTGGGAGGCCGAGATAAGAAGATTGCCCAAGCCCAGGAGTACAAGACCAGCCTGGGCAATATATTGGAACCTTGTCTCTACAATAAATCAAAAAAATTAGCTGGGCCTGGTGGCAGGGACCTGTAGTCCCACCCAGCTACTCGAAAGACTGAGGCAGGATCACCTGAGCCCAATAGGTGGAGGGGGCAGTAACCTTGATAAGTGACAGAGTGAGACTCCAACTAAAAAAAAATTTTTTTTAAGTTTTTCTTTTCTTTTTTTTTAGTAGGGGGAGGTCTGGTGAAAACTAGAAAGACTGCTAGACAAATTCTAAAAGCTTACCATTAAGAGTTCTTTAAAAAACTGGGAGAGTGAAAATGTCTTAGGCTTTATTTATTTATTTATTTATTTATGAGTAGGAATCTACTCTCATCTAGGCTGGAGTGCAGTGGCACACTCGTAGCCACACTGCAGTCTCAGCCTGCTGGACTCAGGCAATCCTTCCATCTCAACCTTCCAAGTAACTGGAACTACTGGTAAACGCCACCATGCCCGCCTAATTTTTTGATTTATTGTAGAGATGAGGTCTCTTCAATTTGCCCAGGTTGGTATCGAACCCCTGGACTCAGGCAGTCCTTTTATCTCCACCTCCCAAAGTGCTGGGATTGTAGGCATGAGCCACTGCACCCAGTGATGTCTTAGATTTTAAAAGTCAGGCAAACTTTGCTTCCATTGTCACTCAATTGTATGTCCCAGAGGCAGTTGCTAACACTTTATAAGTCCGAGTTTCCTCCTGCATACAAATGGCAATAATTTTGCCTATTTTTCTAGGTTATGGAAGTTAGAACATATGTGAAAGCCGCATATAGAGGATATGGCAAATAGACATTATTAAACAATTATTATTTTTTCTATTTTTTTTTCCTTTACCTGCATGTTATTTTTCTTAATACATCTTTTCAGAAAAACATCTAAGGGATTCAGCAATATTCAATAACATATGGTTTTCTGTATGTTTGTTTTAATGTTCTTCCCACAGTTTTTGTTTTGTTTTTAGGTTACTTGGATTTTCCAGGCAAGTAAAGAGTATTGAAATAATTCTTTTCTAATCTTTAAAATATTCTTTTATTGAATGCTTTTTTATTAAAAAAAAAATCTTTCGGTTTTTATAGGTTTGAGGGCCACTTGTTCTGAAATTATTTTGAAGCAAGAAGTCTTGAAAGATGGTTTCCATAGGTAAGTCTCTCATTGATTTCTATCTACTTTAAAATATTATCTCATAATTTAGAACAAAAAGTCAATAGTTAAAACATGGATGAAATGAAAAATTTCTTGCTTTCTTAAGGTTTATAGTGACAGAATGATCAAATGTAGTTCCCACTTTGAAGTAATGAATAAGGGTGGCATGGTGGCTCACAACTACAACCCCAACACTTTGGGAGGTTGAAGCGGTATAATTGCTTCAGGCTAGGAGTTTGAGAACAGCCTGGGCAACATAGCAAGACCTTGGCTCTACTTTAAAAAGAAAGAATGATGAAAATATCTGGGTGGAGAAAAGAAGAAGATAGCAAACATATATTGGTTTACCATGTTTAGGCATCCCTTGGTATTCAAGGGGGTTTGGTTCTCGGACCTCGAATCCTCAAATGCTCAAGTTCCTTATATAAAATGATATAGTTTTGTAAATAGCCTAGACACATCCTACCATATACAGTATATGTTTTATATATATAGCCAGCATCTATATATACAGTATTCTGTTTAATGAAGATTAAATGGCTATGAGATAGATGTCATTTTTCTTATTTTTCAAATGAGGGAACTCACAGAATTTAAATTTTGATAGAAATTAGGGTGATACAGCTCTAACTCAAATTTAGTACTAGGATACTTCAAAGCCATGCCTTTAAGTACTGTGATACACTACTCTTGTTTCTTACTACACTTGATTCCAAATGACCAAGCTGCTTCCAAAAAAATTATCTTCAAAAGATGAATTTTTGCCTGTAATGAAGATCTTGAAAAGACTGATAAAAAACTGTGGAAACTGTTCCATAGGAAAACTTTCCAAAACTTTAAAGCTTTTCCAGTTGATTAATTTGAAATGATTCTCAGATATTCTATAAATACATTCTGATACATTTATTTTTAAAGTTATTTCACTTTATAGTCACCTTAAACTAAAATAGCTCATTGTCTTCACTCTTCAAAGTTAGTCTGCTATGTGAATAGCTAGGTGGTGTCGTAGAAGGAAGTTGGGCTTGAGTTTGCTAAGACAAATTTGGGCTCAAAATGTAGGTCCGTTACTTAGTATCTATGTGACCTTAGGCAAGTTACTTAAGTCTTTGCTACTTTGTCAGTAAAACTGGGTAATGAGAGTATAAAGTAATAAATTGGAAAATCACTGGTTGAGAATATGTTATTTCTACACTGGCATTGTGAGGATTAAGTCACACATAGTAAAATACTCAGGATGTGTCAACTATTATTATAACGAGATGGTGATCAAGCTAGACAAAAAGTTTCAGACAAAGAGGAGATGTAACTGTAAAGTAATAACACAGTACTGATTTTGGGAGGGAAGATGACTGGAAGGCACTTCTGAACGTTTTCAACAGAGTTCCAGATGTATTTTAAGCAATGTCAGCATAGTAATGCCAAGTACATAGCTTCTTTTTTTACATGGCCTGAATTTCAAGTGGAATAAGAGATACCAAATAATGCAAACTTGACAGTGCAATAATAAATGATTCTTAAAAGGAAAAAGAGGTGCCTGAAGAGACTGTCATGATGGCAGATGTAGCTCTCTGGTTACAAATACTAAAGAATGAAGACAGGACACAGAACCAACAATAAAGAGTGACAGAACCCATATGAATAACTTCAGAAAATAGAGATCCCAAGTTGCTTGAGACCTTCAGAAATTATCAGTATCATTTTTAAAGAAAGGCTTTTAAATTATGTTTGGAGTAGGTATAGTCTTGCTGCTAGGGTGGATAAGGAAGGATTAACAGTTTATGGAAAGCAGAACATTTTAACTCTTATTCTGTCTTTGTGGTCAAGAAGAAATACTTCCACTCTGGAAAGGGCCAAGCAAATGTTGGTGGAGGGAAACCGAAGTGTGGAATATGTAAGGGAATGATACAAAAGGGCCTAACTGCTGTAAACCAATTCAGTGTCTCCCCTCCCTGATGAACTGTATCCCTAATAGTAGGAGTCCTTGTTTAAAATATTTCTGAACTAATAGTTATCATCTCTGGATAATCTAGGAGTTTGGGAGAATAGTAAGGTTGATACAGATTCTGAGCAAAGTTCTGGACTGCATCATCATCATCATCAGTATTATTATTATTATTATCGAGTTGGAGTCTCACTCTTGGCACCCAGGCTGGAGTGCAGTGGACCCTCACAGCCACTGCAGCCTCAACCTACTGGGCTTGGGCGATTCTTCTGCCTCAGCCTTCCAAGTAGCTGGTACTGCAGGTGCACACCACCACCCCCAGCTAGTTTTTGTGGTTTACTGTAGAGACGAGGTCTCACCAAGTTGCCCAGGCTGGGTGTCAAACCCCTGGGCTCAGGTAATCCTCTCGCCTTGGCCTTCCAAAGTGCTGGGATTACAGGCTGAGCCACTGCGCCTGGCCTGGACCACATTATTAAAAGAATCGTTTGTGAACACACAAGTAGTGGTCTCTGGGAACTGGCAAGAATTTATTACAAATATTTCCTTTATAGAGTACTTTATAGGTGGATCAGGGAAATGCTATAGTTATGGTATATCTGATTTTCTGGAAGGCTTTTGATGACGTTTATATGTTGTATTGGTGACAAGATGAAGAAATGTGGACTGGAAGATAATACAGGTAAATAACTTCATAAAGATTAATATATTCAACACATCCTGATGAATGGATTTAATGTTTAATGTCATGTTGGAGTGAGGTCTTGAAGGGTCTCTGTTTTTTAAAAAATATGTTTGGATCATGCTACTGTACTTCAACCTGGATGACAGAGTGAGACCCTGGGTCTAAAATTAAATTAAATTAAAATTTTTTCTGATTATATAAATATTATCTGTTCATAGATACATTAATAGTGTCTACAAGAAAAGAGATTATAGCCGGGCCTGGTGGCTCAGCCTGTAATCCTAGCGCCTTGGGAGGCCGAGGTGAGTGGATTGCCTGAGCCCACGGGTTTGAGACCCGCCCAGGCAACTTGGCGAGACCTCATCTCTACAATAAATCAAAAGTTAACTGGGCATGGTAGTGTGTGCCTATAGTTCCAGCTACTTGGAAGACTGAGGCGGAAAGATCGCCGGAGCCCAGCAGGTCGAGATTGCGGTGGCTGGGAGCGTGCCACTGCATTCCAGTCTGGGTAACAGAGTGATACTCCAACTCAAAAACAACAACAACAACAACAACAACAAAACGAAAAGAGATTATAGATATATTCTACTTTTATAGAGGCAGAATAAAATAGTGGCTAACAATGTGGATTTTAGAGGAAAACTACCATAATTTGAATCTTGGCTTTTGGATAAGTTACTTAGCATCTTAGTGTCTTGGTTTTCTTATAGGTAAAATAAGAGTTATAGTAGTACTATTTCATAGTTTAAAAAATCAAGCTCGGGGCAACCCCTTCGGGTCCCCTCCTGCCGTGGGAACTTTTCTGTCCTCTCAATAAATCCTTCTTTCTTACTAAAGAAAGAAAGAAAGAAAAAAAAAATTCAAGCTCATTGAGTTTTGACAAGATATATACCTATGTAACCATCATCACAATAAAAATATAGAGCATTTCCATCATCCTAGAAAATACCAATGTACTTTTAGTTATTCTTCCTCACCCATACTTACTCCCAACCAACCTACTACTGATCTACTTTCTGTCACTATATAGATTTTTTAGAATTTTCCATAAATGAAATCATATAGTATATGCTCTTTAAAATATATGTGGCTTCTTTCACTCAGCCTTATGTCAGTGAGATTCATCTATGTTCTGTGTAGGAGTAGTTTGTTCTTTTTTTGTTGTTAAGTACTGAAATTTGTTCATCCAGTCAAATACCAGTGGCATTGGAGTTGTTCACAGATTTGGGCTGTTATTATAAAGCAAGCTGTGATGAACATCTGTATACAAGTCTTCGTGTAGATGTGTTTCCATTTCCCTTGGGTAAATATTGATGAGTAGATTTGCTGGTTATATAGTAGCTATATGTTGAACCTTTTAAGAAACTGCCAAACTGTTTTCCATTTTCCATTTCTACTAGTAGTATATGCGAGTTCTGTTTCTGCCACTTCTTCACCAAACTTGGTATAGTCAGTTTTTAAAATTTTAGGCGTTGTAGTGGATGTATAGTGGTAACTCATTGTTGTTTTAATTAGCATTTTCCCAGCCGGGTGTGGTGGCTCATGCCTGTAATCCCAAGCACTTTGGGAGGCGGAGAGGATTGACTGAGTCCAGGGGTTTGAGACCAGCCTGGGCAACTTGGCAAGCCTGGGCAACCCTGTCTCTACAATAAATCAAAAAATTAGCTGTGCATGGCGGTACATGCCTTTGGTTCCAGCTACTTGGAAGGCTGAGTTGGAAGGATCACCTGAGCCCAGCAGGTCGAGGCTGCAGTGACCATGAGTGTGCCATTGCACTCCAGTCTGGATGACAGAGTGAGACTCTTACTAAAAAAAAAAAAAAAATTAAAATAAATAAATAAAAATTTGCGTTTTTCTGATGATTAATAATGTTGAGCATCTTTTCATGTGCTTATTGTACACTCATATATATCTTATTTTTTGAAGCATCTGCTTAAATTTTTCACCCATTTTTAAACTGAGTTGTTATCTTATTATTGAGTTGTAAGAGTTCTTTATATATGTATTTTTCATTGTAAGTCCTTTGGCATGTATATATGCCTTGGGAATATTTTTACCCAATCTGTGACATGTCGTCTCATTTTCTTAGTGAGGTCTTTGAAAGAGTAGAGATGTCTTCCTTTTTTTCTCTCTCTCTCTCTCTGTGTCACCCAGGCTTGAGTGCAATGCCATGTTCATGGCTCACTACAGTCTCAAACTCCTGGACTCAAGCGGTCCTCTCCCCTCAGCTGGGACTACAGGCATGTGCCACCATGCACGGCTAATTTTTTTGTAGTGATAAGGTCTTTTTATGTTGCCCCGGCTGGTCTCAAACTCGTGGGCTCAAGCAATCCTCTTGTCTCAGCCTCCCAAAGTGCTGAGATTATAAGTGTGAGCCACTGCCCCCATCTAAGAGTAGAAGTTTCTAAAGTTTTTGGAGTCCTGTTTGCCAATTTTTTTATGGGCTGTGGTTTTTGTGTTTTTGTAAATCTATGCCTATTCCAAGATCATGGGAATTTTCTTTCAAAAGCATTATATGGAATACTATCTATTTTGTATTAATTTTTGTATATAGTGTTATTAAGTGTTGAGGTTAATCTTTTCCCATTTGAATAGACAGTTGATACAACATCAGTTGTTGAAAGGACTCTTCTTTCCTCATCAGATTAATTTGTTGATGATTAATTACCTTATAGGTATGGATCTGTTTCTGCTCCCTATTCAAACTTTGGCCCATAGGCCAAATAGCTTGCTTTTGTATGACTTTGAGCTAAAAATGATTTTTGCATTTTAAAAAATTATTTATTTGTTATAGAGTTGTGGGGTACAAGTGAGAATTTACTATGTAAGTAGGCTGCATGCAGGTGAAGTTTGGGTTTCTAGCTGGCCCTCACTCCCCCTGGTAGTGGACTAGGTACCAGTTGTGTTGTCATGTGCCCCTTGCCCTCCTGTCTCCCCTAGCAGTACCCAGCAACTGCCAATCTCACCCTTGTGCTAATGTGACTAGTGTTCAGGGCCCACTTGCAAGTGAGAACATGCAGTGTTCAGTTCTTTGTTTCTGTGATATTTCAACTAGTATGATGCTCTCCATCTGCATCTAAGTTGCTGCAAAGGCCATGCTTTTGTTCTTCTTTATGGCTGTAATACTCCATTGTGTATATGTGGCACATTTTCTTTATCCAGTCCACTTTCGATGGGCAGCAGGGTTGGTTCCATGTTTTTGCTATTGTGAATAGTGTAGCAATAAACATGTGTATGCAGGTATCTTTTTGGTAGAGTGATGTATGTTCCTCCAGATATATTCCCAGGAAAGGGATCTTTATATTTTCAGAGGTTAAAAGACAGGCAAGGCATGGTGTCCCATGCCTGTCATCCTAGCACTTAGAGAGGCTAAGAACAGCCTTGGCAACTTAGCAGGACTTCATCTCTACAAAAAATATAAAAAATTAGCCTGTATGCTGGCATGCACCCATAACCCCAGCTACTTGGGAAGCTAAGGCAGAAGGATAATCTAAACCCAGGAGGTTAAGGCTGCGGTGAGCCATGATCAGGCCACTGCATTCTAGTCTGGGTGACAGATTGAGGATCTGACTCAAAAACAAACAAAAAAAAGCAAAAGCAAAGAAAAATATGTAACAGAGACCTTATGTGTCTCACAACCCTAAAATATTTACTATCAGACTCTTTGCAGAAAAAGTTTGCCAACCCCTGATCTGTACGCCCATCCATAGACCACTAACACACTACTACCTTGACACATCAAGCACACTACTTGTATCTTGATAGTTACAGGTGTGACTCCACCAACTTTTTTTTCCAAATTGTTTTGATTGTTCTAGATTCTTTGCATTTCCATATACATTTTAGAATCAACTTGATGATTTCTTTCAAAAAGCTTCATGAAATTTTCATTTGGATTGTTGAAACTCTAGATCAATTTGAAGAGAATTGTGTTAACATTAATTAATGAATGTTCCAATCCATGAGTATGGCATCTCCATTTATATAGTTTTTTTTCCAATTTATCTTAATGTAGCTTTCAGAGCCTGTCTTGCCTATATTTTGTTTAATTTATCTCTAAGTATTTCATGTTTTTGATGTAAAGAGTATTGTTTTAAAATTTCATTTCTAGTTTGTTGTTAGTAATAGAAATGCCCAACTTTTGTGTATTGACATCATACCCTGAGTCCTTGCTGAAATCCCTTATCAATACATGTAGATTTTGTGCAATAGGTTTGCAAATATCATAGGTTTGCAAATAAAGACAATCTGTTTACTTTTTTAAAAAAATTTTTGGAACTAGCTAGAATCTCTAATACAATGTTGAATAAAAGTTGTGAGAACAAACATCCTTGCCTTGTTCCTGACCTTAAAAGGAAGCATCTAAGTATTTCACCATGAAGTATTTGCTTAGATGCTGTATATTGCGAATGTTTTGGGTATGAACATTGTTGAGTATGGACTTTATTATCTTTCTTTAAAGAATAAAAGGGTTTTTCTGTTTGCAGTCAAGTTACTTGCTTAACATTTTTGTATAGGTCTAAAGTGGCTGGGTGTGGTGGCTTAGGCCTATAATCCCAGCAATTTGGGAGGTGGAGACGAGAGGATTGCCTGAACTCAGAGGTTCAAGACCAGCCTGGGAAACATAGCAAAGTCTTATCACCACAGTGAATAAAAAAATTAGCCAGGCATGGCTCTTACTTGTAGTTCCAGCTATTTGGAAGGCAGAAGTGGAAGGATTGCCTGAGTCCAGCAGGTTGAGGGTGCCGTGGCTATGAGCATGCCACTGCACTCCAGCTTGGGCAACAGGGTGAGACTCCGACTCAATGAATAAATGATTGATAGATAGATAGATGGATAGATAGATAGATAGATAGATAGTCTTTATTCTAAGGTTAATTTATTGACTAAGCCTGCACCCTATTACAGTCTCTACTGAATGCCTTGGTCTATATGCTTTTGTTGGTTGGAGCTTGAATATCTTCCAATCCTATGTAAAATTTTGGAATTTTTCTGTTTTTCAGCTCCCTGATCATGTTTTGCATACTCTTGTGGAGTTACTTACTCATGCTTATCTTTGTATTCTGAATTCAGCAAAAACTACAAGGATTCCTATTTGGATTTCTGGAGCTTTTTTTCCATAAGTTAGCATTGTAGAACTTAGCACTGTGACTTAGAGTCACATCAGTTGCCCTAAACTTCTATTTCCTCACATAAGTAAGACAACTATGCCGTGTTTTGGATCTCATTCCCTGCTCTGTGGTCCAGAATTTGCCTTCAGACAGAAAGCTGAGACATTTATACATTTAGGCTTATAATCCATTTAAATTAATTTTTATATGTGGGGTAAGGTAGAGGTCATTGTTTATTTTCGTCTATGTAAATATTCAGTTGTTTCAGTACCATTTGTTTAAAAGACAATCCATTCCACATTAAATTGTGTTAATACCTTTGTTGAAAATATGTGTATAACTATTTTTGGACTCTATTCCCTTCCATTGATCTTTGTCTGCTCTTACACTAATGCTGTACTGTGGCTTATAACATGAATTATGAATGATCTAATGGATGTTTCTTATATGATATAAATATTTCATTTAGCTTTATAATCTACTTTTGGAAAATGAATTTGAAATATAGTGTTGCCGCTAACAAGAATATAGATGTCATGTCAGTTAACAATTGAAGAAGAGATTTACTTTAAATATACTTGTCTTACAGAGACCTTTCAATAAAAGTGAAATTTGGAGAAAGTATTGAGGATTTACAGACCTGCCGACTCTTAATTAAACAGCGCATCCCGACAGGACTTTTTGTGGATCCGTATGAGTTGGCTTCATTACGAGAGAGAAACATAACAGAGGTACAGTTATTAGGGAATTCTTTTTAGATAAATGAATTCAGGGATGCCATAATTTCTGTTAAGAAAAAATACTAGATACATTGTAGCTTCTTTTTCATCTTGTTCAAGTGACTTTTTTAGATATAGAATGGGGTTGTTTTTTTTTTTTTTTTTTTAATTTTATTTATTTATTTATTTATTTTGAGTTTGAGTCTTACTCTATTGCCCAGGCTGGAGTATAGTGGCACAATCATAGCTCACTGCAGCCTTGACCTCCTGGGCTCAGTGATTCTCCCACCCCAGCCTTCAGAGTAACTGGAACAACACGCACGTGCTACTAAGCCTGGCTAATTTTTTAATTTTTTTGTAGAGATGATGTCTCACTATGTTGTCCAGATTGGTAACTACTGGGCTCAAGCTATCCTTGGCCTCCTAAAGTGTTAGGATTACAGGTGTAAGTCACTGCACCTGACTGGAGTATTCTTTAACAAGTGATACTTGTCAGAATAAGCAAACTAAACTGAGCTAATTAAATACTTTTTGGCAGGATGGTCATAGTTTAGTGACTAAGAAAATTATGTTTTTGTGTGTATACGTATATCTTGAGAAAATTAATGATTTATAAATAGTGCTTCAACAACAGCTTTGTTTATTACATATTAGATACCCCAACATCCATATAATTTTGGTATACAAGGAAAGGAAACTAGTGTTTACTAGTTATCTATATGCCAGATAGCTTTTTATTTTTTATTTTTTATTTTTTTTTGAGTTGGAGTCTCACTGTGTTGCCCAGACTGGAGTGCAGTGGCCACTCCCAGCCACCGCAGCCTCGCCTGCTGGGCTCCGGCGATCCTTCCGCTCAGCCTTCCAAGTAGCTGGAACTATAGGCGCGCACTACCATGTCCGGCTAATTTTTGATTTATTGTAGAGATGAGGTCTCCCCAAGTTGCCCAGACGGGTCTCGAACACGCAGGCTCAGGCAGTCCACTCACCTCAGCCTCCCAAAGGTGTGGGATTACAGGCTGAGCCACCAAGCCCAGCTTAGCTTTATGTTTTTAAAGGAAGCATGATAAAATTAAGCATTAAAGAAAGATTGTTGAGTGGATTGCCTGAACCTGCGGGTTCGAGACCCGCCTGGGCAACTTGGCGAGACCTCATCTCTACAATAAATTAAAAAATCAGCTGGGCATGGTAGCGCATGCCTGTAATTCCGGCTACTCGGAAGGCTGAGGTGGAAGGATCGCCAGAGCCCAGCCAGTCTGGGTGACAGAGTGAGACTCCAACTCAAAAAAAAAAAAAGAAAGATTGTGTCCCATACACTTTATCACAACCATGGAGGTAGTATCTCCTTGTATAGATAAGGAAACTGAAGCATAAAGAGGCTATGTAACTTATCCAAGATCATATCATATAGGTAAATGGTAGAGCCAAGAAATGAATCCAGAGTTGTCTAATTGCAGTGTTGTTGTTTTTGCCAGACATGAATCTTACTTCTTAGTTAAGAGTTTCCTCAACTTTAAGAATCACCTAGGGGCATTTTTTTGTACAGATCATTGTCTTTCTGGGAAATACTGATTCAGTAGGTCTAGGTTGGGCCCAGAAGTCTGTTTTTAACAACCCAGATGATTTCTGTTAAATTTTGGGAAACACTGTCTTAGTTCACAAGATTCCAATCTACATATGAATTTTTAAAAATGTAAAGTAGGCCAGATACAGTGTCTCATGCCTGTAATTCCAGCACTTTGGGAGACTGAGCTGGGAGGATTGTTTGAGCCTAGGAGTTTGAGACCAGTCCAAACAACACAGCAAGACCTCATCTCTACAAAAAATTAAAAATGCAGCTAAGCATGGTGGTGTGTGCTTTTAGTTCTAGCTACTCAAGAAACTGAAGTGGAAGAATTGCTTGAGCCCAGGAGGTCAAGGCTGCAATGAGCCAAGATCATCTCCAGCCTGGGCAACAGTGAGACCCTGACTCAAAATAGATCAAATGGAATAAATAACATAAAATAGATTATTCATGATAGTAGTTTATTTCTAGTTGTGGTTTGAGCCAATTTCTTCACCTGTTTTATTTATTTGAATTTTTTTGAATAGGTAATTACATTCTCATGGTTCACAATTCAGGAGATATAAAAAAAATATACAATGATAAGCTTCTACCCATCTCAACCTCCAGGCACCAAACTTCTTCCTTTGTTCTCAGTTTTTGTGTATGTATGGCAGTTTAAATACACATATAATTATAGCACCTCATTTATTTATTTTCTTCCCTGAATTATGAATTATAAATGAGAATTTTCAAATTTGAAATAATAGGTTTTACTTTTTTTTGAGTCAGAGTCTCATTCTATTGCTCAGGCTGGAGTGCAGTGGCATGGTCATGGCCACCACAGCCTCGATCTGCCAGGCTCAGGTAATCCTTCCGCCTCAGCCTTCCGAGTAACTGGAACCACAGGCATGTGCCACCACACCTAGCTAATTTTTTGATTTATTGTAGAGATGAATTATTGCCATGTTGCTCAGGCTGGTCTCAAACCCCTGAGCTCAGGCAGTCCTCTGCCTCCACCTCCCAAAGTGCTGAGATTAGAGGCTTGAGCCAACACACCCGACCAGGTTTCAAAGTTCAACACAGTTCTTGGCTTTTTATGACATGGGTTGGGATCATAGTTAAAGTTATATAATAGAATAACATAACATATACTAAAAAATAGAAAGAGAAGTCACAAGATTTTTGGCTGCAGCAAATGGAACTGTGGGTCCAAATCAAATGGGTGGTATGCCAGCAAAATACTTTGTAAGGAGTTTGTGATGGTTTCTGAGTAATTTAAAAATAAATATATGCCTTAAGTAAGTTC